GACTTTGGTAATCAAAATTTTCCTGAACGTGACACATAAAAAAGCTAAACACTCCCAACACATTGAAAAATGAAAATGGAAGATTTTTTTATAAAACACCAGGCAGTTTCACAAGAAAAGTAGCTGAACGAGCCTCTTTGTTGGAGTAACTTCCCGTCTACAATACAGGCGTCTGCCAGAGAGCCACACTGACCAACTGGAAAAAATCAGCAAGCCGCCCCCAGACAAGCGGGCGTGGAAGAGGGACAGAGACAAATGTAAAGAACTAAGCGCAGCACAACAGATTTTGACAGCGTGTTGCTGTTGTTTCATTAAAGTCGTGCTGGTCTTCTGTGCACATGATCATCATTTCAAATAATATCACGGAAAAACGTGCTGTATTTTCGTGTGTGCTTGATTTTAGGACACTGTCAGGGTAGTACACACTTCCAGGAGACTTGTCCAACTCTGTCCAATTGTCTTCTACTTTAATTAATAATGGAGAGAGGCACTTTTTGTATAAACTGTACAAACTCAGGAAACAAAGTATTTAATAATCGAAAAATAACAAAAGTAAATTATCTTTATATGCTGACTCAAAAGCTCTTGTTCTCACAGGGGTTGTGCATATTGCTGATTACTGAGGTATGGTCTGTTGTTGTGTATATAAACGCTCATTCATCGTCCTTTTTGTGTTCCATAATTTAGGTCAACTGCACCGAAAGCTATAAAGAAGAAAGCTGTATTGATCTAAGGACTTTTGCTTTTGTTTTTTCAGACGGCAGTCACAAAGGATTTTCTTTCCACCAGACCTCGTCATTAAAAATAATATATCTAGCGTTTTTTATTGCTGATGTAAATGCTAAATATCATTTTAGCCGATTTTTTAACCTTAACGAGCCTTACTTTAAATCCATTCCATATTAACTTTTTCTCTCCTTAATCAGACTCTCTACAGCGGATTTTCTCTCCTTCATCACTTTTTGTTTTAGACTTCAAAATATGGTCTTGTTTTTATGAATCCTATTACACAACACAAACACAATTGGCCTTTCCATTACCCAATTCACTCCTGAAAGATAGTAATTTGCCGTGGATCAAGTGCATCCGATCAATGCGCCCCTTGCTAAGAAGTAATAAAGACGGCTCAGGGACACTTCCTTTTTGCCATTTTGACTTTTTGAAAAATGTGTACTCTGTGACCACAAAAGGCTGATATTGTAAACCTGCTGAGGGACGTGACGGATGTACCTTGAAAACAGAAAGAAATGCCACATATTTCAGACACAACTTTGAGGAGGCGCGGGTGCAAAGAGGACTGTGACATGATTCAAACAGCACAGTGATGGCGGTGACAACGTGAAACAGAAGGGTTTGTGGCTGTCATCACAGGTACATGTGTCCTCGCAAGCAGGATTGATGCACTTTGTTATTGCCTCTAACCCCTGTTGTTGAGTGCAGGAAACAAAAGAGGAGGGTTTTCTTTACCAACGGGACAATGTAGGTTCCCAATAAGAAGAGGAAACCACGCAACAGGGGAAAAACAATGTCTGCGTGGAAGGAATAGTTGAAGAAAATATTGGAGGAAGGCAAGGAAAATGGGACATTTCAAAAAATAAATCTGTGGAACGCATGTGTGATAGACTGGCAGGTGTATTATTTCCTCAATGTGACTTTTCCTCTGTGGCCCTTCCGAAGCCGGCACCACTGAGGAGGCGGCGTATCCAGCAGTGTGCGCCTGGAGGCTTTTGTTAGCAAGAAAATCGTACCTTTGCCTTTTTGAAGGGCAGTGGTTTGAAAACGAATGTTCACAACTTCCTCTCCTCCCCATGGGGCGTCGGGCGAGGGACTGTGAGGGGAAGGGTCACAGATTCCCTCCACGTGGCTCTCATTCAATGCTAACAAAGGCATGTATATTATTTATGTTATTTATGCAACTACATTCTTGTAAAGTAGTTTTTGATTATTTTGCATAATGGCCACCATTATAAAATTCCGAAGGCCTGACGGAATATGCAATAACCTATAAAAACATTGATGAATGTTTAAAGCAACTCTAAGGCGTCTGTTGCTGTTCAGTTGTACATTCTGGGTAAATAAAAAAACATCATTTTAAGGAACTGTGTTTCTGCATTGGATGGGAATCTTTAACTGTACAGTATTGAGTTTGTCACTTGACTCATTTTTTATGTTTATTTGCCGCAGTCGGATTCTCTCGGAGCTGCCGCTATTTTTTAAAGTTAATTTTGAACTCAACTTTCCTCTGCGTTTCATTCGGTTTTCCATTGAGGTTTAGGAAAAGTGTAAAAACACAACATAGGGCGTCATTTTTTGACTTTTCAACAGCAGCCCAGCTCAGTTCGGCTCTCCTGCCTGGAAAGAAACACCCTCATCAGGTGCAGTGACTGCATCTCAACAAGGGGCTGCCTGCCTCCTTCGTTCTACTTTAGACCCGGACGTCATGTTTTGAATATTTTGTTCACTCTTTGCAGAGCTTAAACAAATACATACAAAGTACTGAACAAAATAATGACAGTAAAACAGTGTCATTGTGGACTCGTACTGCCTCGTCCATTGGTCTACCCAGTGAAATCATGAATAATATCAAATTGAGTTGTAACTTTACCTCTACATGTCTACAGAGCATCACAGATGCACTTGCTATCCAAGACTTTGTAGATAATCATTTTATCATTTTACGTATCTCATGGAGATTTGCCCAGGTTTCCTATGTCCTCAGGGAGCGCTGATACCAGATAAGAGCTATTAATATTTATGCACATCTGAACTTGCAGTGTAGAGGAGAAACCACGTGAAAATTTGTTTAACACATTTATTATTAATCAGATCAGATAAGGTACACATGTTATTTAATTCTATGGTAAGATATTTGCATATTTTTCATTTTATAGATTTATTAAATGGTTTTCAATTCCACCAGTAAAACAATCCAGGTGGTACAATGCAAATAAACCTCAGTGCAAATTGCAGACGCATAGTGCAGAGTTTAGACGCTGAAAGGAATGTCCAATTTAGTAACAAGTAGTGTACGTTCACATGAAGCATCCTAGTCTGTTTTATATTTTCCATGTATGAATCATAATACTATGATACCATTCAACTCTGCTTCCTTTGTGACGTTTTCGGTGATGCCGTTTATTTTTTAATTTTAAAATATTTTTAACTTGAACTTTTATTCCTTTATTTTAAACTAACCCATAGCCTTATTTTTTATTTTATTCCTCTTGCAGTGTTGTCTTGTCGTCCAGCGTCGTACTGTCTGCTGTTACGCACCAACCTCAAAGTTAAATTCCTTGTATGTCTGACATATTATGGCAGATTGGATTTTCTTACATTTCCTGCTCGTACCTATTCCTTTCAAAGCAGGGTTTATATTTGTAATCGGGCATTTGTTCTATTAATATATTCATACTTTGGTAACAAATAGATAATCAGTGCGTTTTATTTACCACTTAAAGCTATGGAGTTTTCCCAGTAGCACTGTAGAGCGATGTTTTAATGAGTGGGTCCCAATATTGTTTTTCATCTTGTCCTGTAACAGCTTAACGCTACAAGCTTAGGGTGCAGTGATATATACGTTCAATTTAACTCCAAAGCTTGCTAATGCATTTTAACGGTTCCATATACAACATGGAGAAAGAAGAAAACAAACCAACATAACAAACATTCAAAAAGTGTTAATTAAAAAGTGCATAGAATTTTCTAACATATGATAAATGCTACATTTCTTACATAATTCCTTTAATGAGCATTATGTAAGCCTGATGAAGAAGCGAGAATTGATGTTGTGTTTATAATTAAAACTTCCGTGTTCATTTAATCAATCCAGACGTCAGTTGAAATGTTAGCTTGGTCAATTCTAAATGACTACTCAACAAGTACTTTCTACGTACTCATTTCTATGAACAACATGTTCTCATTATAGCGCTTGTAGAGGCCATTAAAGTGCCGGTGTTCTGCATTTCAGTTTTACCTGTGTAATTACAGGTTACGTTGGCCTCACTCAAACTTCTTCTCGGGTTGTGTTTGTTTGAATTGTGCCCGAACTGCCCCAGAATGTGAGCTTGCAGTCGGCATCACTCTCAGGGGTCCGTTTTCTCTGCTTCGGTGTGGTAATTGCTTTTGGTTGGGAGTCGACGGGGTGAACGGGTGAGCTGAGGAGTGCGTGTCACTTTAAGAGCGCGTCTTCGGGTGGCTTCTTGATATTAATAGAGCTGCTGTGTCTTCCTCCTCCTGACGTCATGCCCACCGCGTACAGACAGACTGGCAGAGGTCCTGTCACAGCAGCGCGACAACACTGGGCTCAACCAAAAAGTATATGTATATATTTATATACACAATATGTCTGATAACGAGCTGCTCTGGTTTGGTTTGCAGAGGGCAGCAAATCCGGGCTGCAGCCGGCCAGATAACGTACTATAACATCGGAATATTGCAATACCAGAGCCAATCTCACCAACCAGTCGGTATCAGCCTACTTTAAATGTGTGTCCTCGCCGGAAGCATTAAGTCGGTTATTATTCTTCTTCTTCTCTCTTGGACCCAAAAGAAAAAAAAGAGGGCGCCCAAGAGCACTGTTCACCCCGTCTGGCTTCATCAACATACAAACAACAACAAAAACCCCCCAAAGGGGAAAAAGCGGCGGCCGAGCCTCCTTTTAACACAGTGCTGCCGGAAAGAGACACCACCTTGAGAAAATCGCGGCGTAATCCTTATTTTGTTCCACCATGTAAGCAGCCCCGAGAGGGACGGGATGCGAAACACGCAGGAACGGGGGCGCGCGGTGCACACGGTATCCCGGGTTACTGGGCGCGGGGGTTCGGCGTGCGGCACCACGACGTCGGGAATACACGTTCGGATTTCCAGATGGCTAACAGGCAGGTCCTCGGCCCAAGTGTGGGGGGGGGGAACGGAGGGAGGAGGAGGAGGAGGAGGAGGGGGGTGAAACGTGTTCGGGGGGGGGGGGCGGCGGCTATCAAATGTTGCGTTCGGGAGACAAAACGTTGCAGTTAGCCGCTAGGTAGTTTTACGACGGGCAGCAGTCGCTTTGCGTCTTATGTAACTAACGGCCCGAGCGCCGTCGGCAAGGAGAGAGGGAGCTGCTGAATGAGAGCGAGCGAGCGAGAGCGAGGGAGGGAGAGAGAGGAGCGGCACCACCACCGAATTCACATGGCAATTTACATTTAAGGTTAGGACACCCAAACGCTACTCAAATACAAAGTGGGGGGGCTTCTCGGGACGGCTACCGCTTTTGATTTGAGTGTGAAGTCAACGGCGAGGCGACGCGGAGTGACTTTAGTCGCCTCAAGTAGGTTTGTGTTTGTGTGTGTTTTTTTTAACTAAGTTTGGTTCCTTGTTGTTGTTGTTTTTTTTTTTGGGGGGGGGGCGGCATTCATTCACGATAAGCGGCATCCCGACTGGACTCGCTAGACAGTGATTTTTTTGTCACCGCGTAGCAGCTCCCGTGTAACTACAAAGTGTTTACTACTTTTTTTTGTTTTTAATCTTATTTTTGACACGTCTTTTTTTGTTGTTTGTTTCATTGTGAACTTTTCCATTTACTGTAGTTATTCTTGCCTGCGAGCTCGATACCCAAGTTCAGATTGCTCGCGTCCTGCCGAGTGACGCACGAAGGACGTCTGCGCCGAAAAGGTGAACGCTAGTTTTAGCCGCTCGCAGCAGTTTGTCTCGCGCAGAACGTGGGAACGCGCTGACACGCGAGATGAAAAGAGATTGCGTTTTTCAAGTTGCTTTCACAGCAGATATGGCGCTGCCTCTCTCTGTGTCCTTTTTGCACCTCTTCATGGTTAGTAAGGATGGTGGAGTGAAAATGTGATAAAAAAAAAAACCCCCCCCCCCTCTCTCTTGTCAACTAACGTTTATTACTCACAAAAAAAACTACTTATCGCCCTCAAATATCGCGCGTGTATGGGATTTGTTTGTGAAACTTTTCGCGAGTGATGCGGGGAAGCGGGAGTTGCGTTTCCACTCAACTTTGTAAAAGTCTCTCCCCCCCCCCTCTCTAACCCCCCCCCCCCCACCGTGTCGTAAGAAACTGTGATGTTCCTTTGAGATAAGGGAGCCGGGTAGGCATGACAACTCTGTGGGGAGAGCAGAGTATGTGAAGGCAGCACAATGAGACACACACACACACAGACACACACACACACACACACACACTGCAAGGGAGCTTTTTCACATAGTCCCTCGCAGCTCTGCAGGCCCCTGGAGCACCGCTTGTGTGTGGACCCGACTTTTATTCAACAGATAACCTCAGTGATTTGTGGGGAAAGAAAAGAAAAGCGGAGCAGAGCGGCCTGGTCAAACTTAAGTCTGAGGCTGCACAGTTTGTGTTTTTATTAGAAGTTTTTCTTACGCCAGCTTTACCCGTAAGTCCTTTTCCAACGTAGAACGTGTCTGCGGATGATTTGATAATGTTGCCACACCGACTTGTAAGAAGTTGTTTTGAAGTGATGATCTTTACCTCACTCTCACTGTTGTGGCTTTGAATATTTCCTTGAAAAGTTACAAAATGTTTTGAAAGTTCTGTGCTTTCTGCCCACAGCGGCGGGGGACGGCGTACGCTGTGGGGATCACTTTAAGGAAAAATAGAAATCCAAATATGTTTTGGTTTTGGAACTAGCAGCATCCAAACACACATCTAACTCGGAGGCTGTAGTCGAGCATTCGTGGCAACTTTTTAAGCACTTTGTAAAGCCAGCGTTCTCGACAAATGCTGGTTTGTATTCCATGATTTAAAAAAAACAAAGTGACAAAACTTCCACCTTTTTAGAAGCTGCGAATATTCGTTCCAGTTAAAGCCCAGTTGTATAACTTTTTTTCCCCACAAATTCCTACGGATGCAATCCGGTTCTTTTACTTTTGAATTGTTCTCTCTCGCTAAGCTGCTACGTATGATTTTAATTGAGGAGTTTGATACATCTCAAGGCAGTTTACAAGTTAGCGCTTTAAACTGACACTGACTCGAAGTGTGCTCTGAAACGTTTCTTCTCCCTCGCTGTCCTCTCATGCCACTTGAGTTCATGCCCCCCCCCCCCCCCCGCGCACGAGGATTAGACGCTCATAACTTTGTGTGTTCTTATACTCCTAGATATCATGCCTTTTAATTGTATTACTTTGTTACATTTTTGCGAACATTTAACAAGCTCCTTTTTTTAAAAAGACTGATCAAACAAACGGTTCCTCTCTCCAGACACTGGATATTATTGTATCTCACGGCCTTGTTCTAGCTGCTATTAAACGTCAAAACAGTTGACGACTTCCTAAAGGAGACCTTTGCTTGTAAAACTCTTTCCCGTATGTGTGTAAGAGCGCGCACAGCACTTCTTCCTGTGTGTGTGTGTGTGTGTGTGTGTGTGTGTGTGTGTGTGTGTGTGTGTGTGCCATAGCTTACTCATATGGCTGCAACATGTGAAATCTCAGCGGTTGGAACTGGGAAGAGGGAAAGTTTTGAGAAAGCGAGAGAGAGAGCACATGGAGTTAGGGAAGTCAGACATGTCCTGTTGGACTCGCTGGAATGTCCCTCGTGTGTTTTATTGACGGTTTGATGCCCTAAAAGACACGAGGAACAACTGTAGTGATTTTGTGGGCTGCCACGCGTTTGCCCACGGTCGCTTCAAAGCGGGGCTTAGTGTGTCTGAGGGGAACGGGGGGCCGGTGAAAAGGACAGAGAAGCCACCTGGACTGGGTGAGGGGTGTAGGGGGGGGGTGTAACTTTAGTGATTTGCATATGTTGCATGTGACTGATCTCACTGCCTCAAAGCATCATGGTCAGGGGGTGTTTGGAAAGACAGAGACAAGTTTGTAGTGCAGCGTAGTTTCCTTCAAACGCGTAATGATGGTCATCATAATGGATTATTATCCAGGTGGGGAAGAGCTGGCTTTTTCTTTCTAAACCTTTTGGGATATTTTCTGTATTTTGAGAAAGGGCGAAGTTATCTGCAATTTGGACGTTCTAGGTAAGGGATCATTAAATGTCTCTCCATGGAGTTCTTAAAAATAAATTGAGATATCGTGATGCAAAATGGCCTCTTTTTGATTTCGCCAAAAAAAGTGAAATCAAGCTATTGTCTTTAAATTTGTCTGTATCTGTGTGCATGCATGTAAACAGTCAGTCTGTAGCTGTACATTTTATTTAGTTTGTTTCTGTAATTTCCCTACAAACTGTAATTTCCCTACAAAAATACGCGCTATTTTTTAAATGTCGAGTAGTAGTAGCAGATTATTTGATCAAATTACCTGAAAACCTTCTACAATATGATATATATATATATATATATATATATATATGTGTGTGTGTTATTGATAAATGATGGTCGCATCGCTCTGCCGTAATTATTGCCAAAGAAAGAATGAGAAAATAGCGGCTTAAGTGTATTTGATACAAATATAAAAAAACTTTATAAATGGTGGGTCAAGACCTTCAGAAGTTGTAGAAACCTGGATGAATTGCAGAAAAATGAATAACCGATAAGAACCCAGACACCAAAAGAAAGAAAAAAAGTTTACAGGATTTATAGAAGTTTACTAAACTTTTGCTAAATCTGTGTGTGTGTGTGTGTGTGTGTGTGTGTTATATTTGCCTCACATTACCCGCTAAAATATTTCATCAGTGAAGAGATTTTTAAAGTAAGGACTCCTGCAACAACCCCTCAGTCGCCGCCGTGTCTCCTCTGTCTGGTCCGCGCTGACGCGGGTCCTTTCTCAGCTTGTTATAATGTTCAACAGGAGGAACACATGTCCGATCCCCGTTAATCTCTGCTTCTTATTGCTGCTATCATGCGCGTGTGCGCGTGTGTGTGTGTGTGCGCGCGTGTGTGTGTGCGTCGATGGGAGCGAATGATCCCATTCGCAGACCTGTTGCTCGCCACAGATGACTGTGAAAGTGAAGCAGCTGTCTTCCCGATCTATTGAGCTAACTTCCCTGAACTCAGTTGAGTTGAATATTATGTTTTGGTAAGACAAAAATAAAAAAGAATACGTTATTTATGCTGAAGTGGGACCAGGACTAGTCGTTAATAATATGTTCACAACTTATTGTTTTTTAGTTCCCGTGGTTATTATTTTTGTGCTCATCCGACTGTCCGAATGCAAAGCCTACGTAGCATTTCCTTCATGGACGCACCACACACATGCATTTCAATTCTACGGTTTATTTTTTGTACTGTAGCCACCGTTTCCAATAAGTGGGGAAAAAAATGATCATTTACAGTACCACGTCCGTTCTTTTGTGTAAGGCTCCTCTTTGCTCACAGCTCTGTAGCTCCCACTTCTGTCCTCACCGTCTCTTGTTTTTCTTCCATCTCAAGGACACAATGGGTCTGATCTTGTTCCACTGGCTGCAGGCATTGTTCTGCCTCTGTAATTGCTTTATTTCAGCTGCTTGGGACGCGGGCGACACACACACAGTTTTGAGCCCATTCTCATGTTGCAGTGGCTGGAAGTCCCTCTGGAAAAGAGTGTCTGCTTAAATGGCCCAAAATGTCGTCCCCGCTCTCCGTCTGTGGTTAGCGCCGCCTTGTTTAGGCTCGAGTATGTCTCTAATGTCTTTGGTCTTCTAAGCCTGTCTTATAGACAGGCCGCTTCAGATAACGAGCACATGGTCTTGGTTTAGGATGAAATAATTCCCCCTTTTTTTTTATCCCCCATTTTGTAGTTCTCTTTTTTCGGGCTGGGCGGCGGAGAAATCCTAAATACGGGAAAATGTTTCTCCCTTTTGATCTGAGAGTAAATAATCCCCTCTGTCACGATACAGTGGAGCCTGATAAAAGTGTTGGTTGAGCGGATCCGGCAGAAGGTTGATGACACGGGCGGAGTGCGGTGTCGTGGTCCGAGTGACTAAGCCGCTGTCAAGCACCTTCTGGCCCCCCGTCATATCAGTCAGCCCTGTTAGAAACACGCGGCAAAGGCCGTGAACCACCTCCGGCTGGTTCTTGTTCTCGTGGTACCAGAGGTGGTTTTGGACACCATTTTCGGGCTGTCACGTGGTGCGAGTCGCCAGGTGTGACCGCTTTGACTCAACGTGTGCGTTTCCTGTGCACCCGGACGCTCGGTATGACTCTGTGCCTCGCGTGTGACACGCCGCGTTCCTCTGGCTTTCAATTCAAGCGAGGTCTCACTGGAAAGGAACCCGTGGATGTGCGTTGGGTTAGTGGGTTCGATCGGCTG